TTCGGACTATGACAGCTTCTTAGACAATAATAGTTACACCATTTTGTACAAAGCGTTAGTAAATTTTCTAGTTATCACTATAAATTTATATATTATGTATAAATAATAATATGAATTATTAATAAAATATAGGACATCTGGAATATGTATTTTATATTTCTATATCCGGAGAAAATAATATAAATAAAAATTATTAAGGATTATAAATTGAAGCAAACTATAAGGATCTAATGATATAATTTCAAAAATAAATAAATGAAGGCTATTTTAGTCTAACTTGTTTTCAATGCTAAATATATCGATACTCAGTGTAAGAAATGATAAAATGAACGTTTTGATCTTTAATATGGTCATTTCGTCTGGGTCATAATAAGTATAAAAAATTATAAAAATATCTATATAAATTTACTATGATTCTTACGACTATAGAAATATACATAGTTTACTTGCATATTTATCTATTATGGTATGCTAAAAATACAAATGTATGTTATTAATACTTTGTAACATTCTTATTTATATAATGTTAATACTAATTTCTGATTTTCCAGAATTGGTGTGATTTTGATGCAGCACGAATGGTATCATATATTATCATATATGTATCTAAGACTTAATATTTTTATATTTTGTTACAACGGCGAGATTCTCACGAAACAAGTAATTCCTCAGGAAATTTATAATAACTAGAATTATCCTAATTATTATGCTTAAGTACGTCAGAGAGAGCTCCTTAAGTCTGGATCTGCAATAGGGTTTTAAGTCTTAAGCCATAAGAAATGGGCAAATCATAGTCGCTTATTCTTCTCAGATTCGACTGTAATTGATCAATTTCTTACGACTTAAGGCTTAAAACACCTATTGTAGATTCGGTGTAACTCCTGCGAGTATAGGACCTCTAATGAAATGTTTGTGACAATGACTTATTTTTTAATTAGACTGTTAGCCTAATGTTCAATACCCAGTCTGAGAGGGACCTACAGTTTAATGTCGAATTAGTGATAAAAGGTTTCTTAATCACCATTTTGGACTCTTAAAACGCGAAAAAACGCGTATATGGGTCTTGAATCCAGATTTAAGATGGAATCACACGATTTCTTGAATGATGTAAGCAATATAAGCATGTATGCTGCTATGCTTGATTTGATGCATACAATAGGACGTTTGACAAATAACTATGAAATAAGCAATTGTTTCTTTTGATTGGTGCATGCAAGGAAATAAGCTGTGAAGTAATCCATAAATATAAAAATCATGTATATGTAGCATACAGCGCTTAATACATCAACATATTCTAGCATACATCAAAGCAGGCATGACTCTATGCGTGTTATCATTCAAGAAATGAATTCGAGCATCGTGTGATTCCATCTTTACAGAAGGAGTCAATCGCATCGAGCCGCATGCCATTTGACGCCTCATGCTTAAGAATAATGTATTTAATTATTCTACGTTAAAAAAATCGTTTAATGACTTGAGCTTTGTGACTCGAATTGTTT